TAGAGCAGGAGAATGTCACTTTTCTGGTAAGGTAACTCCCAAATGCTACTGTTTAGTACTTTGTTCCATACCTCAAAGTCTAGCTTGGAACGTAACGCACCGCCAAGTGTTTGTGCAGCTAAAGGCAACCCATTGCACTTGCGTGCAATTTTCTTGCCGATTTCTTCCAAGCTTGGATGTGCACTACAGTTTACATTTCCAAACGCATGTTTCTCAAGTAATAACCAGCAATCTTCATGCGACAATGGTTCCAAGGTTTGAATAGGAACGTTTTGCATAAAAGATGCTACATTTTTGTTCCGTGTTGTTACGAGGACTTTACTTCCCCTTGCCCCTGAAGTAAAAGGAGTTTGGAGGCAGTTCCAATCACTATATTTCTCATTCCAAAGGTCATCCAACACAAATAAAATTTTCTTCCCCCTCAGTTGTTCTCTTAGTTTAACTTGAAGCAAATTCAGATCTGTCGTATTACAAGGTTTTGAAGTAACTGAGTCAAAAAGAGTTTTAGTTACCCTGATAGCATCATAGTCTTCTGAAACACAAACCCAAGCTTTAAGTGTAAAATTTTCTTTCACTTTATCATCATTGTAAAGCAGTCGAGCAAGGGTTGTCTTGCCAACCCCTCCCATTCCAACAATGGTGATGACAGACACATCATCCTTGCTTGCATCATCAGATAACAGGACTTTTAATAAATTTTCTTTGACTTCATCTCGACGATATACACAAGGTTCATGAACCAAGGAAGTTGTCGGAGTTCTTTGTGAAACCTTCCTCACAACAACTTCTGTCAAACCAAGAGCACTTTTCAGTTGTACAAAGTCTTCTAGTTTTCGTAAAAAGTCTTCTAGTTTTCGTAATTGTTTACACCATAATTAACCAAGCGTGATTGAACACCAAGGTAGACATGTCTTCCTCCCTGCCAAAGGGAGATGCTCTTCCGAGGGGACAACCACCTGCCGAAGCTCCGAACTGCCAAACCTAAAACACAGGAGACACGTGTCATCATCACAGCAACTTGCACAAAGTCCCACATCGGAACTTTGTGCAAACCTCCTACTTTTACTTCCCTATAAATGGGGAACAGTAACCAAGAAAAAAGGGTAACTTCTCTCTCCCACTATTACTGCTACTTTGCAATAGTCACTCACCCTAGCTGACTCAGGCATCGGAGAGCCTTCGGCCGGCACCACACCGGTGTCCGAAGCTTAACGATTGCTTCTCCTATCTTTGTCTTTTGCAGGCTAGCCCTCTACCGAAGGCTCAGGCCCTTCTCTTACTAAGGACAACCCCTATCTCTAAGTTGACCCTCTCCGAAAAAGAGCATCAACAGGTGGGACCCCAATACTTAAAACCCATTTTTCTCTACCAGCCCAGCTGGTTCCTTCACCTATCCGGCCCCGTCGCCTCTTCTTCACTCCACACTCAGCCATGCCTACTGAGGATAGCCACGATGCCCAGCGCAGTACCCCTCAGGAGGGTACCTCCAGAAGGGACCATCGGCAGAGGTCAACCTCCAGGCCGAGGTGGAACTCCTCCGCGCCAGTGTCGTCAAGATGTCCGAAAGGTGTGACCATCTTCACTCCAGGAATGTTGAGCTGGAACACGACTACTGCATCCTGAAGCAAAACTGGGAACGGAACCAGGCCCAGGGCTCCCAGCGCAGCCTTACCCAGGAACCTGAGCGCACACAGCCAAACCAGCCGGAG